GTGGCCTATAGAAGTGCAATTGAATTTTAGGTCATTCTGGTAAATTTTAAAGGTTATAACTTTTTCTTAGTATAAATCTCTTTATAGAGAAATATTCATTATGTATTTATTTTATATTGTGTCCCCCTAAAGGTAAGCATGGGTATGCACACTTTTTTTATATCATATACTAAAAAAATTTATCGGTTAAAAATGCTTGCTTATTGGTAGACAATATTTTTTAATTGATTTGAAATATAATAATTGTTTAGTCATTTGAAAAAGCGGCATGTAAAAAAACTTTAACCCATGTAGTTCTCATATATAAGGAGTGTCCTATAGTAACATTTTAATCACTTATTTGGGAAATTGCGCAAAATTTGAATTGAAATGTCATTAATTCAGCATAAAAAAAGTGCGTACGCTCAATATTAGTGGACATTCTTTTATATATTTTTATCAACTCACAATGTGTCCAGAAAGATGCAAGTCATGAATATTTTGAGAATATTACTAAGAGAGAGAGTTTTAAAAATGCTGAAGAGCAAGACAATCTAATGCCTTGCTTAAAATGGTTTAGTAATATATGAAGTAAATAAAATTTTTATACACAAAAGAGATAAACAATATATATTGTTTAAAAAGCACATGTGCTCGTGGTCATATATATGTATGTGTATATATATATGTATAAAAAATTAATTAGAAATAAAATTTGCTTAAATTATAAGTGATAGTTATGAAAGATGCATTAACTTAAATTATAATGAACTACAAGGTAATAAGACCAAATCCAAATATATTAATAGTGTGTGACGTTTCGGTAACAGCGTTGTTACCATCATCAGATAAAACACTAAATGAGGAAAAATATCACAGCAAATCTATCAAAAAGTTAAGACACAATTTTGATTATAGATTAGAACTACAAGGTTGTAAGGCCAAATTCAAATTATCAATAAAAATCTTATTACCTTGTAATTCTAATCTATAATCCAAATTGTGCTTTGTCATTAAATTAGTGATCATAATTATAGCCTTTCTAGATATCTAAAGCATGCTTAATTATAATACAGCCTATTTCATTTGATGTATGGGGTATCAGTTTTAAATATTCGTAAATACACAGTGATAAATTATATCCTTGATAAATAAAACCAGCTGAGTTTTTAAGGTCATACTTTTGAATTTATTGATAAAATTCATTAAAAAAATTTTGATTGAAAAATCCCTTGCTTTCAGGAACGAATTATTTTATCGAATAAAATTCATTCATAAAAATATATTAATAACTACCGCTAGTTTTTAGATTAAATATCTTTATATATATTTATATAGGTAATCCTATTTTTAATTTCTTAAGGTATACCGAAAAAATATTTTTAAAATAATAAAAATATATATATATATTTATAACGCTCATAATAACTTTGTAAAATGACCTTTGACTAACTCTTTTTGCTTTTCTCAAAACGTGTTCCTTCCACACCATTTTGACTACGTTATTGATTTTCATTCCTTTGGTTAACCAAAATGCCTAAACAAATTAAAGAAATCAAAGATTTTCTTCTGACTGCAAGAAGGAAGGATGCTAAGACTGTGAAGATCAAGAAGAACAAAGACAACGTTAAATTCAAGGTCCGCTGCAGCCGTCATCTTCATACCCTGGTTATCCAAGACAGGGAAAAAGCCGAGAAGTTGAAGCAGTCCCTCCCTCCTGGTCTCCAAGTCAAGGAAATCAAGTAAATTAGCTTAAATAAAAATTTAAGCTATGTAAGGTACCTGTTTTTATTTTCAAAACAGAACTTTTTTTTTTTTTTACAATAAAATGTAAAGACCACGTTATTTTCATTGTCTACAGTTATTCTCGATAATTTGCAATAAGTTAAAATTATATTCTAGTGTAAAATGTTTTAATATTACTTTTTAATTATCATGTCGGTTATAACAGCAAAATATTTTATAAACTAGTTAATTTTTAATAAAGCCTTGTAAGTAAGCCCTAAATATACTAATTTCATAGGTTTAAAACATTTTTTAGTATTTCTCAATTTTTATCTATGCTTTGTAATTTTAACTACAATTTTTTTTTTACAGAATGTTTTTACATTCTTAGAGAGTAAATCTTATGTGGCTTTTCCCCCCATTTGTTTTTCTACAAGTGGGATTACTCCTCATTTTATTAGGTGACATAAATTCATATATTATGTTAAGCCTATCTCATAACTTGGCTGCTATACATCTACACAAGCATTGCATTTTACTTTATAAAACCTAAGGTATCGGAAGAGGATTAATGATTTTTTTAAGCCTAATGTACCTGAAATTGTTACAAGTTATTTATGATAAACACAAGGTAAGACCAAATAAATAAATAAATAGTGTGTATTTACACATTACACACTATTTATTTGGATTTGGTCTTATTACCTTGTGTTTATAATCGAAATTGTGCCTTATCAAAGTTATTTATGAGTTTAGGGTTAGTAAATCAGTAAGCTTGTTCCAAAAGCTTCCTAACATAACCTGTATAACAATTTTTGTAGATCACTGCTGGTTAAGAGCCACTGAATATATCAATATATATGCTAGGTTGTTTTAAAAATTACACAATTTCAAAAATTTACACTTTTAAAACAATTATTTTTGCTTACCATGAGTACGTCTGGTGCAGAATTGCTGAAGCCTACTTATGGTAACCATAGTTTTATTTTTAAAACAAAGAAATTTAACTTATCTAAACCTAACATAGCATCATCAACATATTGCCTTCTACCACTGAAAATTGTAAAATTAAAACAAATTTTTCTTTCTAAAATATATACAGTAGAACCTTCCTTTAAAGAACATCTAGTTGTAGAGCCAAAGCGTCCTTTAGAGAGAGGTGTCCTCTTGCCGGACAGTTACTAAATAGTAAAAATGGTAATTTTGCAAATGAAAACTGTCCTTTGTAGAGTGGTGTCCTCTAGCAGGGTGTCTGCTATAGGGAGGTTCTACTGTATACAACTATATAAAATGAATATGTACATGGTATTTCTGCCATCACTGAAGAGTTTGGTGGAGAATCGACAGCGGGTCTCCAGCGACACCACACATTCCGTGATCTACGAAGAAATTGTAAGTCGCATGTTTCTCCACTGAGGAGATGGTGATGGTGTGGTCCTCGAGGAAGATCCTCTAAGGTGTCCTCTAATGGAGGATATAGTATTTGTTAGAGTAGAATCTCTATGAGAGGACACTCATGCTAGAAGATACCTCTCTACAAAGGATAGTTTTTTCATTCTCAAAATTACCATTTTACACTATTTAGCAACTCTCTGGTAAGAGGACATTTTGGCTCTTGAACTAGGTGTTGGTCTTTACAGGGAAGTAGTTCTATTCGTGGAGGTTCTACTGTATAATACACCAATACCTCGCTTTGCGTCGTTTTGTTTTGTGTTTTTTCGAAGTTGCGTTGCTGCTTAATTTTTACTGATTTTCACTGTGCGTCGTTAGATTTTCGAAGTTGCGTTGTTTTGGATTCGAGTCTTTAATTTTTTTTTTTTTTTTTTTTTTTTTTTTCCTAAAATATGGCAACACCTTTGTCTTTGATTGTGCCTTCACATATTTTCACTTTGCGTCGTGCTTTTTTGGAACGTAACCCCGATGCAAAGCGAGGTATGGGTGTATATCTATATCCTGCAATGAATATAAATTGAAAGAGGAAGGGCCTGGCTCATCAATGGTTATATACTCATGTTGTCACCAGTGGTCTGTAGAAATCTGTATCTCACCATATTAACTATTTTTAACCGGGTTGGTGGAAGTGTGATATAAACTGTTGGTTTTCAACGACATGACCCTATAAACACAAGGTAAGGTAATAAGACCAAATCCAAATAAACAAATGGGCACTTAAAAAAAAAAAATGCTCCAATGTCCCCCAATTTTTGTAAAAGTTCAACCCCACCAGCAAGTGTAAGTAACCAAACAATGCTCTGGCATGATAAAGCACAATTTGGATTATAGATTATAATACAAGAAAATAAGTGTGATGTTTCGGCAACAGCAATATCACCATCATCAGACAAAAGAATAAAAAAAAATACATTTAAAAGATCCATAAGATTTTTATTTTTTTTATTCTTTTGTCTGATGATGGTGACAATGCTGTTGCTGAAATGTCACATTTAAATTATTTGGATTAGGTCTTATTTTCTTCTATTAATGCTCTGGCATATTTATGTCTTTCTTATCTCCACTTAATCATATTAGGGTGTTAAGCCTCTGGTCATCTACAGACAATACAGAATGGTTGCAAGGTTTTCCCAATATGTACTAAGTGCAATTCTCATCCTGAAACCTTAAAACACATTATTGACTCGTCCATTGATGAGCTCTACTCATCCCCAGCAGACTCCAACAAGCTTTACAAACTTGATATCCTGATATGATTGAGTGGAGATAAGAAAGAAGAAGAAAGTAGTTTTTGAGTTAATTTGTTTTTATCTTTGTTTCTATTTTGTCTCAGTGAGTGTCAAACTGTCTTACCATATTCTTGAGATGATTCTTTTTCATCTCGATCTTTTTGTTGTCATTACGAAATTCAAAGAGAGACAGTTTGTCATTCATTTCTTATTCCTATGATGTAGTACAGGAACCACATTATTGACTCATCCATTGATAGCTCTACTCATTCCCAGCAGACACCATCTACAAGCTTGATACCTTGATATTATTGAGTGGAGATAAGAAAGAAGAGGGTACCAAGCTTGTAGAGCTTGAGACTTTTGATGGGGTATGCTGAGGATAAGTAGAGCAAATCAATGGATGATTTGTAAGTGTAAAAGTCAAACTGCTTATTACATGTGTAGACATGTGGTGCACTTACAGTAAAAAGAGTCGCCAACTTCTACTCACCATGATTATCATAGTCTGTACCAGGTGTACTAGGTATAACCAAAATACTAGGTATAACCAAAACCAAAAAGGTATAACCAAATATTCTTGAAACTGAACTTTTTTTTTTTTGCTTATCCCTAGTACAAGTGGTGGGAGGAAGGCTGGTTAAACTGTTTGGTTTTCGACCACTAGGACCCGGGTTCGATTCCCGCATTGGACACTTTTTTTCTGTTTAAAAAAAAATGCTCCAATGGCCCCCGATTCTTGCAAAAGTCCAACCCCACCAGCAAATGCAAGTAACCAAACGGGGCTCTGGCACATTTGTAAGTGCAAAGTCGAACTGTTTTCACATGTGTAGACATGTGGTGCGCTTACAGTAAAAGCAGTCGCCAACTACCCACCATGATTATCATGGCCTGTACCACGTGTACTAGGGATAAGCAAAAAAAAAAAACACTTGGTACAGGCCATGATAATCAAGGAGGGTAGTTAGTGACTGCTTTTACTGTAAGTGCACCACATGTCTACACATGTGAAAAGCAGTTCGACTTTTCACTTACAAATGTGAATGAAACTAATCTAATTTAACCTAGTGGATTGTACTTGGTGGATTTGAGATTTGTTTTTTATCACCATGTGGGTATTAGAATAATGGTGGTTTTCAGAGATTTATCTGTTATCATGCCAAATAACAAATGTTTCCATCCACCAATCAATGAACAAGCTTTCACGTTGTAGTGAAATGTTGGATAGTAGGATAAAGGAGAGCATGGTGGCTACACTCTACAATATACAGTAGAACCTACCTAATAAAGGAAATAAGACCTAATCCAAATAATTTATTAGTGTGTGACGTTTCGGCAACAACATTGTCACCATCATCAGTCAAAAGAATGTTTGTTTTGTCTAATGATGGTTCCAATGTTGTTGCCGAAACGTCACACACTAATAAATTACAGTAAAACCCCGCTAAGACGAACCATGGATATAACGAACCTTCCCTTATAACGAACCCATCGAAAATCCCAATTCCATTCCATTAAAATTACCATCGTTATAACGAACTTTTCACTTTTCAAACTAGCGAAAATCGCTATAACGAACCCAATTTTGGTCCCAAAATATTAAATTCTATCAAAAATACCATGCTTATAACGAACTTTTAATTTTAATTCTAAAATTCCTAAATTATAATTTTCAAAACTAATTAAAATTTTGTGTGAGCTCTAGCTCACAGATCGCAATTCAAAACAAAGAATTTAGCGACATTGGGTGTTTTTATTTACGTTCTATTTTTATACTGCGCTCTTTTATAAATTTTTCATGCCTTATTGAAAACTAAATTTCTTAACTCTACATTAGGAAAATTCCTTAAAACATGATTTAAATTGTTAAAACCAGTTTTAAAAGATAATGGAAGTGCCAAAGAAAAAGTCGCTCGTACCAAGATATTACTTGAAAAGAAATTAACCATCATAAAAGCTATTGAGAGTGGTACATCGCAAGCGGAACTTCGGATGAAAATGAGCAAAAGTAGCATTTCTACGATATGGGGCAAAAAAGAAGACTATAAAAAAAAAATGCTACAAAGAGGAATCAATCCCAACTATTGCCGCTATCGTCAGTGTCATTTTAAAAAATGAAGATTTCTTTGCTAGATATGAAACCAAATTTTTGAGGAATATGTTAAAGCAGAAAAAAATAACGGACTTCTTCAAGTAAGCCTTTGTATCCTATATTGTAATATAATATTTATTTATATAAAATATATTTTTATACCTTTTAAAATATTATTAATAAAGTTTTTATTTAATTTTTACATATAAGGTACTTTTCTTGGATTTTTTTGACATATGGGGGGCAGGTTGCATTTATACTAATTAAATTATCAGAGGAACTGGTCAAAAAGGCAATATTTTCACATGATTTTGTTTTTATTTTAATATACAGCTTTAATATATAGAAATAGGTTAATTTTTAGGGGGAAAAAAGCAGCCAATATTAAGAGGTAGCCTTTTTTTTTTTTTTTTGCGCATGCCCTTTAATTATATCCTCAAAAAAAAAATTAAATACCCAAACCGTGGCTATAGTGAACCAAAAGTCCCGTCCCAATGGGGTTCACTATAGAGGGGTTTTACTGTATTTGGATTAGGTCTTATTTCCTTTATTATAATCTATAATCCAAATTGTGCTTTATCATAGAACCTACCTGTAAAGGACAACACCTAATTACAGAGCCAAAGTGTCTTTTAGGAAGAGGTCTCCTTTTACCGGAAAGTTGCAAAATAGTAAAAATGGTAATAAAAGAAAATGAGACCTAATCCAAATAATTTATTAGTGTGTGACGTTTCGGCAACAACATTGTCACCATCATCAGACAAAAGAATAATTATAATAAATAAAATAAGACCTAATCCAAATAATTTATTAGTGTGTGACGTTTTGGCAACAACATTGTCCCCATCATCAGACAAAACAAACATTCTTTTGACTGATGATGGGGACAATGTTGTTGCCGTCACACACTAATAAATTATTTGGATTAGGTCTTATTTTCTTGTATTATAATCTATAATCCAAATTGGGCTTTATCAGTAAAAATGGTAATTTTGCAAATGAAACTGTCCTTAATAGAGAGGTGTCCTCTAGTGTGTGTATCCTCTCATGGATGTTCTACTGTGTCAATAAATGTATTTGCAACAAGTTTCTCTATTAAGAACAAGGATAATATTCCTATTTGCTATAAAAGAAAAAACACAGGGAGATATAAGAGGATGATTGTACAAGCTTTCGGGCAAGACACCTTTCTATGGTTACACAATGACACAAGTATTAATCTGAAATAAAAAGCTTTCAAGTGTTAACTTATCATCAGGTCAAATATTTTGCAAATACTCTTATTTGCATATGGCGCAAGCCATCAACTTTCAGTTGCACAATAAGGAGATGCCTTTTTCTTAATTTATGTACCTTATCCCAGTACAATATCACATTTGTACTATTTTTTTTCACATTGTGTAGCGTTCTCACGCAATTCTGGCCTTAACTACCCGTTTCATGATTTTTCAGAATGCCTTTAATGACCAATTTTTTGGTCGTTGAGGTACAGCTTGCACCACGCTGATGAGTGCCAACAGCCAGAAATGCGTCCGTGGTTAGCTTTTCTTGATTAATCAAGAATGGGTATTTGGCCAATTCTGGAATAATTAAAAATCAACGAGAATAGTTGATATTTATTCCGATAGATGGCGCAAGCCATCAGCAACTTTCAGTTGCACGATAAGATGCCTTTTTCTTATCTTATTTTTATGTTGATAAGTTATACTCTTACAATTATCAAATGATAAGGCACAATTTCGATTATAGATTAAATCTACAAGGTAATAAATAAATAGTATGTTATGTTTCTGTAACAGTGTTATTACCAAAACATCACACACTATAACTTGACACACAGTTTAATTATTTGGATTTGGTCTTATTAACCTTGTAGTTTTGAAACTTAATGATAAGGCACAATTTGGATTATAGATTAAATCTACAAGGTAATAAATAAATAGTATGTTATGTTTCAGTAACAGTGTTATTACCAAAACATCACACATTATAACTTGACACACAGTTTATTTATTTGGATTTGGTCTTATTAACCTTGTAGTTTTGCAATTATCAAATGATAAGGCACAATTTGGATTATAGATTAAATCTACAAGGTAATAAGACCAAATAAATATATAGTATGTTATGTCTTAGTAACACTAAACACAAGGCAATAAGACCAAATAAATAAATAGTGTGTGATGTTTTGGTAAGAGCATTGTTACCATCAGACAAGTATTCAGTACTTTTGTCACACACTATTTAGATTTTATATATCTTAATACTTTGTTTCTAATCTATAATCCTACTAAGGTAGAATTTTGATTATAAACACAAGGTAATATGAATAGTGTGTGATGTTTTGGTTACAGCGCTGTTACAGAAATGTTACACATTATTTATTTAGATTTGGTGTTATTACCTTTTGTTTATAATCAAAATTGTGCCTTATCACACACCTACCTATATATTTGCTATAGAGGTTGGTAACTGCAAATGTTATCCACAATATAACAGAATATCAGACCAGCTCCCATAAGTTGGTGTGTTAGAATCATGTCCTGGATTGTCCCCAAGCTCCTGTTAGCTAGCTTGGCTATACACTCAAGAAGATGTTGCATTCTTTAGATCTAACCTGATGGAGTGAAAGAAATGGTTGCATATTTCTTGGAAGTAGCTCTTGGTTGACTCCCTGCACACATCCACACTACTCTCTACCAACATAGATTCAATAAAGGATAATATATAACAAAGGTTGACGACGCAGACATCCTGTCCAAAGACATCCAGCGACAAGACAATTAAAATAATTTTATTGACATCTTGTCAATACATGCAAAGTCCACAGTCTTGCACTATTTATGTACAATGAATATGGCGCCTTTGCCAGCGCTGTAGAGTTTGGTGGAGAATCACCAGCGGGTCTCCAGCGACACCACACATTTCGCGATCTACGAAGAAAACGTAGATCGCATACTTCGCCGCTGAGGAGATGGTGATGGTGTGGTCCTCGAGACCAACTGGAAAGATCCAGCGACAAGAGCTTCTTGGATGTTAACCCAGTAAATGAATGCATTGGAAAAAGTCACAAATAGAATACTTGTTAAGGATAAGACACAATTTGGATTATCTATATATATAAAAATGAATATTTGTCTGTTTGTTGGTTTGTATGCCCTGTATACAAATTCGCAGTAGTTCACTAATTCAAACCAAAATTTCCATACATATGTAAAAAATAACGGGGATGACGATAGGCTATTTAAAAATATATATAAATCAATTATTAAAACTATATATTCAAATTATTCTACTTAGCTCACGAGCAGCGCCCTCTAGAACGCTGGCGATCTGCCGGCGGCGCGCGCCTGTTGGCTGCCGGCGAGCTTGTGACTTCCCTGTCGAGAAAATGTAATCGTCCGGCTGCCGGCCGGTTGGACAGTCCAAGTTCCCACCGACCAATTAGAGGGATCAAGAGGTCCTGGCGCGTGGGGGCAGAGTTGGTGACACAGAAAAAAGCCTAATGATCCCGGGATTCTGCTCGAAAAATCCCGGGATTACTGGTTTGTGCATGAAAACCAGCGCAAATATATATTTTTCTTATCTAGCATTTTGGTAATC